GTCAGTAGCGGCAGCAGGAAGACTGCCCACTATGAATCTGGCCTGCCCCACGCTTCCGCGGCATGCTCGAAAAGCTCAGTGAATGCTTCCGGATCGTCCTGCGGTCCCATCTTTGAGAGCACGATGTGGGGCATGGCTGAAGCGGCAGCCAGGGCTGCTGCTGGAGTACCCGCCGGTTGGACTAGACTCGTGGAGGGCCTGGTATTGCATCTAGTGGATGCCGGCGAGGGTCTTGACAATCTCCGCAAGTGGTGAGGACTCCATGACAGAGGATCTTCCTCAAATCCGGGGTTTCAGCACCAGTGTGACACTTTCCTGAGTTCGGCCGGAAATAAGGAGACAGGCAGTGAATTTTATTTCATTACACAGGCCCACACACTTGGCTCTGCGCTGCTCAACTCTCTCTCTGTCTCACGGCTCTCCTCTCTCTCAACTTTATCCTTGCTGCCACTCACTGAAACGCAGAACACGTTAGAGCAATCTCGCACAGGTGTAGGTCCTTACCACTCACTATTCCCGGCTCCATTCACAAACCAGCGCTCGACCACACCCATACCCCCACAGCCCCATTATAAAAGATTGTACATACTTATATACCCAGGTTATTGTAAACCTTGTCTTTTCCCTAAAATGTTTCTTTGTTTTTCACTTGAATTTTGTTGGTTGCTGTATAACATTTAAAGATGTAAAAAGATCTGACATGATTTATCTTAGTTTTATTTATTTATTTATTTATTAATAAATATTTATTAATTTGCGGTTTTAACAGGGGTGTGTAGACTTTTTTTTTAATCCACTGTGTATATAATAGCTGGTGAAGACTTGTCTTTACTGATATCTAACACCAATTTGCATGGTATTCTTGTTGAACAAAGATCTAGTGTTAAGCCTGACATACATCTGTACACCTTGTATTGCACGTTCTTACAAAGAACGATGACAAAACTTCCAGTTCTGGATTTTTCCTGAAAATGAGCTTAAACAAAGTGTGTATGCATGTGCAAATGTTTATGCAACCTATAATTATTGCTGAGAGAGTGAAATATTTAAGTTTTTATTATTGTCACCAGATTGGATGAATGTGTGCTACTACTGTGTTAAGTGTTTGCAATGTTTTAATTCCTATTGTTGCAGTCTATTCACATTAGCTTATGCAGATGTCTTTCTCTGATAGTCACTCCAATGTACTTTTGCTGCAATACAGTACTTGTGTATTGTATAGTACAATATATCATTCATGTTCTTTATATTTATCTCTTCTTTAAACTAACCATATTTTAAATGGACTCCCTTCTGTGTAGCTTAAAGACAAGAAATGACTGCTAATCCTTCCTGTCATGTGTACAATTTAGAATATGCTACAGGGTTTTCTTCCTGTCATACAACTGAACAGCATCCTGTAATTCCTGTGACCGTTTTTAGAGATCTGATTAAGGTCTGTTTTAAATTCCTACCAAACCATGAACATGTGTGTTCTGTGGGTGTGTGTGATTGTGTGGATGGGCTTGGGTGTCTGTGTCCGTATGTGTTTGTCTGTCTTTGTGTCTGTCTGTATGTGTGTGCGTGTGTGCGTGCATGCGTGCGTGCGTGCGTGTGTGTGTGCAGGTGGCCCAGTGTACATGGATTGAGAGGAAAATTGCTGCTACGTTGTTTGGAGAGCCTCCGAGTGCAACAGTCCATGATGCCCTGCAGAACTTCCTCAAGGTAGGCCACACTCACTGAGTGGAAACTCTAAGTTTTAAAAAAAAAAAAAAAAAAAAACAGTAATCTTGCAAATGTAGGACTTAATGCAGGTTTGTGCATGTTTAAAACAATGAGCATGAAAGTGAATGCAAAGTCAGTCATAACCATTTGGATTGTTACTTATTTTATTCCAACACCATTATTTACAAAATAATTAAAGTAGTTTAAAATACAGTAGTCAGAGCTGCATCTCTACAGAGCCGAATTTTCATAAATTTGGCTAATACCGTATTGCTAATAACCAAGTTAAAATGTAGAAACATAAGTCACTATTGCCCTAATTTCAACAGTAAAGCCTGATTTTAATAATGTAGCTCATTGAATTTGCGAATCTTCCCACTATCTGCCTTGTGCAGAGTACAGAGGCCTGTTTGTTTAGTGATGAGTAGGGATTTACCCGTGCATTGCTTCTGCACCCAGTTAAAGACCAAACCTCAGGTATTTAACAGGATTTTATTTGTGTTCCCATATTTCATATGTTTATATAGAGAAATAAAATCACTCCTGGCCAAGACACTCACTTGCATGCCTCTTCCTCATCTTGTGTATCTCGCCCATCAGTTTTGATTTAAGTGGCGTGTGTTGTAACTTGTTGCACCTCGCCTGGAGGCCAAGAGCTGTCTCACTTTCTAACAAACACATCCTGTGGAGTTATACAACATCCCCTGGCTGTAGTTAGCTACAAAAACAGAGCTTCAGCAGTGTGAAACAGGTTCAGGGTGAAAATCTGAAAACGTAACCAAGAAAGGTTGCGAACCAGCCTCCATTCATCTGAAATCTCAGCTAATCCCATCGTTCTAGCTCACAGCTACTCAGACTGTGTAAGCCTGAGCTGAATGAGAAGATTATTTTTAAGACTCAGTTTGAATGAGAAGATCCTTTGTAAGACTGGGCTGAAGGAGGAGATCCTTTTCATCAACATCCATGAAGATCTGCATCTGTCGTTCTTGACCAGAGTTCAGCCAACACAGGGGGTGTTATATGTTAGACAAACCTAATGTTTTAATTTCATAAATGATGGTTTGAATGACAGTGAATTAAAACATTGGGGAAACATTTCAAGCTTAACTGGAAGAATATACTAGGATACTCTTGTGTTTCGCTTACATACCATGGTTAAACTGATGCAAATGTAGATGAGGCGGTTATTTATTTTTGATGAATGGGCAAGTGGTGGATTGTCATGTGCAAACATGATTGTTTTCAAAATCATTAAACACACAGAATCCTTAGAGAGCTTACGCTAGCCATTTAGCTGCAAAAACTGTCCTAAGCTAAATGTGTTTTTCATTACTATTGCACTGCTTTATCCCAGGCCCCAAAAACAAGAGAGTGTTGATTTGCAAACACTGAATCCACACATGTATGTTCCAAAATGCCAAAAGTAACGTTATTCATATTGGTTCATATTGGTTCATGTTGTGCTTACTTTTACAGGCAGAGGAGATCTGTCCAAAACACTCTAAATACAACTATGTGTTTTTAGCAAAGGTAAAAGACAAATTCTTAGACAAATAACTTCATGTATGTAGAGCTTGTTTTATGTGAATTATTATTCATTCTTTCAGCTGAAGTACAAGTGTTTTTGAGCTCACAATGATGTGTATTTCTTCTTCATTGTTTTTAGTGCTATAAAGACCTGGGCCAGAAGAACCAAGCCAAGATGATGTGTGATGCTGGAACTGATATGAAAACTATAACTAAAGAGGTGGGTTATAGAGTGCACACAGTCCAGTCTATTCAGTTCTGGTCATGCATATTTCAGTTCTGGTCTGTGCAAATTTCTGCCTCAAATTTTCTTTATCTTTGTGTTGTCTTCTAACAGGACGAGGAAGCACAAAAGGAGCTGGACTCTATTCTCTTGTCACTTTAGTCAGAAACAGACTCTTCATGTCTCCTCTACTTTTAGGGCACAGTTGTGGTGATAGACTTTAGTTGTGACCGGATGACTGTTATTTTGACTTTTTCTCATTTTCTGCTGAATGTAAATGACTATTAACATTAATGACAACTGAACTTTGACCAGCGATCATCTGCAGCATGACATATGCCACAAACTATGAGGCAACATGTCATGCTCCAAATTATCACAGATCAAAGTTCACTTGTGACCATATGACTGTTATTTTGGCATTCTCTTTGACATCTCTATGCTGACTGCAGACTCTCAACATTAAGGACAACTGAACTTTAATCAGTGATAATCGGGAGCATGATATCTTGCCGCATAGTTTGTGACATATCTCATGTTCACACAAAAGTCATAAATTAAAAGATCTCCTAACTTAATTTTAGTACCCATAGAGTTGTGGACAAATCATAAATTCCTTCGCTAGCCCACCATAAGAAAAAGCTCTATTGTAAAAGGATAAAAATAGGAGCTAGTTAGCTAGGTATATATATTAATACAGACTAAAGGAAATAAACAAAATGATTATCCTCTAATAATAAAGTGTTTAATGTAGCACACCTTGCTTGCACCCGCAACACAAAATACTAGGCCATGAGATGTGGCGTTCTCCCATGGCATTCACCTTAAAATTAGAGTCTAGCTTCATTATTTGCTCTTGAGATGGCACATTGAGTGCATCTTGCTAGTTGGAGAGCTGTATGAAGGCTCTGTGCTGAATTTTATGTTGCTTGGTTTTGTTTCTATTTCTACATACCTGTGTGGTTCTGATTCAGAAAAGATCACTATCCATCCATGCATTAATCCTCCTAGTAAAAACCACCTAGTAAAGATCAGCTAGATCACGTGTCCGGCAATGTGTGTGGTGCAGCAGGTGGCAGAGCAAACGTAGCTACATACCAAATGAAACTTTTGTTTTGTAAAAGTCAATAAGGGATAGGTTTTTTTCTTTCTCTGGTTGTTGAATCCACTTGTCCCCTGAATACCTCGGATATGAAATCCACTTATCCCAGGTGCCCAGGCTACTGATTGGTCCACACTACCAACACATGTCAACACATTAGACCCTTTTACCCATTCCAAACACAGCACTGCATTTAGTCAGTTACAGTTTACTATTCATGTTTGTACTGCAGACCTACACAACACTAATAGATTAACAGAACACTAATACCATGGCACCTTTTCTCTTCCCCCTTTTCTTGACTTCATGGCCAGTCTTTAGTGCAATTTTCACTACAGTTCCACACAGTTGAGAAAAAAAAAACCTCTAACGGTTGTCTCTTTTTATTCCTTGGAAGAATATCAGATTTATTTGGGAGTATATGAGTATATTAGATGTGTATTGGTTTTGGTGGACTAGTGGCTATCATGTGCCTCTCTCACTGCCACGACCCGGGTTCGATTCCCGGTCAGGGAACCTATCCCAGCCTTTGGAGCGTTGTACGAGCCAGTGCGCTCTCAGCTCCTGTCCCAAGCCTGAAAAATGGGGAGGGTTGTGTCAGGAAGGGCATCTGGCGTAAAACTTATGCTAGAATCAAAATATATGGCTGGGTGATCCTCTATGTCCTGAATGGGAGCAGCTGAAAGAGAGGGGGAAAAATTAGATCAGTTTTGCAGATTTTCATTTCTTAATGTTTTTGTTTCCAAAGTTATACATATATCCACATCATTGTTTAAGCAAACTGATTACTGAGTCAAGAAAATATTGAATTATCTAATTTTGGTTTTGTTTTTCTTGTAACAGGAAGGTGCTGGTTCATAGTATTTATACACAGTAATAATTTTAGCTTTGACCTGTAAAAAATTGATGCTATTATGTTTTAGCCTGTTTCACTGCACAAAATCGGGGGTAGAGGGAATTGTGTTTCCAAAAGTCTTTTTGATCATTGTATACTTCATGTTCAATGCTATGCTTTAAAATAGAAATTCTACATATGTACATATAATACATAATCGTTATTGACAGAGGTATTATTGCTTTAAAATGTGTTGAAATGTATTAAAATCATAAAATGTGAACTCTGTGAAAGTTTTGGACATTGATGAAATGCTGCTGCTCTTGATCCCTTTGTACCTAAATATGAAGGATCTCATATATGGTCCCAGTTCTTAGTATAGGCAGTATGTTAATGTATAAATGTTAACATGAATAGGTTAATATAGCCAGTCCCCTATGCGTATGCCTAATTAAAACGGACTCTTTTTTTTTTTTTTTTTTTTTTACAACTAGTCAATTCCACTAAAAGAAGAGATGAAAAAGAATGCAGGCTTCTGCTGAAAACCGAAAGTTACATACGCTTTTCACAGAATAAACTTGCCCACACATTTTACAGAAAAATTAATCACTGATATTTACAGCATTAGGGCATTCAATTATCAATTGTAATGAACTAGAACCAATATTAGAATCATATTTTTTTATTTAAAATATATATTTTGATTTTAAATTTTAAAACCATTTGTACCCAAACATTGCCACAGCCTCTATTTTGGAAACTGGTGTTTTAAAAATGTATTGTTTCAATAGTGCACATGAAATTTATATGCGAATGATTACTTTTTTTTTTTCTGTTTTTGTATAATATGTTTTAGCTTTACCAAAGAAAGCGAGGAGTGTATGTTGTTTTTTTTGTTTTTTGTTTTTTTTTAGTTAAGTGTGGTTTGTATTCCAGCAACAGCAATGTATTATTCAGTAGATTATTCTGTATGAGCTCTGGAATATTATATAATTATATATATATATATATATATATATATATATATATATATATATATATATATATACACTGCCCTCCAAAAGTTTGGAAACGCCTGAACAAAATAGGGTTTTTGGGCAATATCAGCATAAATCCTCTTTAGTTAGTGACCATTTTGCATTGATAATAAGGGACAACACTAGGCATCCGAGCAGTCAGTTTATTCAAACA